GCATGTTAATAATGATATCGATGTAGCTGTTATTTTATCAATAAGAATATCATTATTGGTGGTGTTACCTTTATAGCATCACGCTTAGCTGAATTAAGTATAGTAATGTTAATGATAACGATGTTGATAATGGTAATAATGTGGATACTAAAAGTATGATAATAGTAGTCATCTTGATAATAATTAACAATAATAACTATAACAATAAGATTAGCAATAATGATAATGATGATAATAATAATAATGATAATAACAATGATGATAATAACAATAATGATGATAATAATGGTAATTTATAGTGATGATATTAATGCTAATGATTTTTATTATTATCCTTAACAATATCATTATCATTATTATCATTAATATTATTATTATCATCACTATCACTATTACCACTGCAATATCATCGTTTTATCATTATCAATACAATTTTCCTATTACAATTGTTATTATCCTCAATACTATCACATTCACCATTATCATTATTCTTATCACCATCCTTTCCAGTGACCATTACCTTTAAAGAGGATGGTGAGAGGTCATTAACAGAATCCGCAAACATATTCTGAAAAAAAAGGTACTCTGTTCCTTTTGAAAGTAATATATTCTCTTGCTATTTATTTTCTTTTCTCTCGCCACAAGGACACAGTCGTTCGTTGTGATGAAATAAGTCTTCAGTCAGGAAACTCTTTAGACTTCTCAGGAAGGGATAGAACATTCTTGACTGTAATTGATAGGGAGAGGGAAAGAAGGGGGAAGGGAGGAGGAGATAAGGAGAAGAACGGAGAAGGGGAAGGAGAGGGAAAGAGGGAGAAGGGAGGTGGGGGATAAGGAGAAGAACGGAGAAGGGGAAGGAGAGGGAAAGAGGGAGAAGGGAGGAGGATAAGGAGAAGAACAGAGAAGGGGAAGGAGAGGGGAAGAGGGAGAAGGGAGGAGGAGATAAGGAGAAAAACAGAGAAGGGGAAGGAGAGGGAAAGAGGGGGAAGGGAGGAGGAGATAAGGAGAAGAACGGAGAAGGGGAGGGAGAGGGAAAGAGGGGGGGGGGGAGGAGGATAAAGAGAGGAACAGAGAAGGGGAAGGAGAGGGAAAGAGGGGGCTCGGGAGGAGGATAAAGAGAGGAACAGAGAAGGGGAAGGAGAGGGAAAGAAGGGGGAAGGGAGGAGATAAGGAGAAGGACAGAGAAGGGGAAGGAGAGGGAAAGAAGGGGAAGGGAGGAGATAAGGAGAAGGACAGAGAAGGGGAAGGAGAGGGAAAGAGGGGGTAGGGAGGAGGATGAGGAGAGGGATGGAGAAGGGGAAGGAGAGGGAAAGAGGGGGAAGGGAGGAGGATAAGGAGAAGAACAGAGAAGGAGAAGGAGAGGGAAAGAGGGGGTAGGGAGGAGGGGATGAGGAGAGGGATGGAGAAGGGGAAGGAGAGGGAAAGAGGGGGAAGGGAGGAGGATAAGGAGAAGAACAGAGAAGGGGAAGGAGAGGGAAAGAGGGGGTAGGGAGGAGGATGAGGAGAGGAACAGAGAAGGGGAAGGAGAGGGAAGGAGGGGGTAGGGAGGACGGAATAAGGATAAGGAAAGGAGAGGGAAGGAAAAGGGGAAGGAGAGGGAAAGAGGGGGAAGGGAGGAGGAGATAAGAAGAACAACAAAGAAGGGGAAGGAGAGGGAAAGAGGGAGAGGGGAGGAGGATAAGGAGAAGAACAGAGAAGGGGAAGGAGAGGGAAAGAGGGGGAAGGGAGGAGGAGATAAGGAGAGGGATGGAGAAGGGGAAGGAGAGGGAAAGAGGGAGAAGGGAGGAAGAGATAAGGAGAGGGATGGAGAAGGAGAGGGAGAGGGAAAGAGGGGGGAGGGAGGAGGGAGGAGGAGATAAGGAGAGGGACGGAGAAGGGGAGGGAGAGGGAAAGAGAGGATAAGGAGAGGGATAGAAAAGAGGGAAGGGCAAAGGGTGGGAAGAGAGTGAGAGAGAGAAGGAAAGGGATAAAAAGACCTTGCTGCCTGAAGAGCCATTTCAAGAGTGATTCAGCAAAGAGAAATTGCTCTCCTTGACCTTGGCGGTGAAGAGGAACAGCCTGGGAACAGTTCAAGAGGGAACACTTTTCTAACAGGTAATACGTATTGCTGTTTTGTTTGTTTGTTTCTTCTCCTTCCCTCTTTTTTTTTGTTTTGTTTGCTTTACTTGCTGTAAAATCCTGTATATTTATACCTTTCTAAAACACATAGCTAAAGCGAACGAACAGGTGTCACATTTTTCGTATCACAAATCAATATCTTATCATTACTTCTCAAAGTAACACCGGACTTAATGTCTTCGGCAGATATTATCTCACTGAAAATCATGCATCCTATCCTATATGTTAAATATTAAACTAGAAATTTCTCAACAGTGAACCTTCGCAATTTCAATTCCAATCTGACCCAAACCCCACGCTAATGTGCTACAATCTACCCTCATCAACCACAAACTACCCTAAACATCCACTCTTCATAATCTACATATACACTCCTCCAGCATCCACTACATTTTACTAAGTTGGACCAGGGACAAGAAAGTCATAATTGTTTTCATGATATGTCATTAACAGTTGCGTAATTCTTATTCGTAATTCTTAATTTACTCTAATCTATCCCAATATATATATATATTTTTTACTTGCATCAACCTTAATGATGTATGGGTATCAACCCTTTACTATAATATATTTTTTCTATCAATCATCAACAAAATCTAATCAATCGATCCCTGTTGTATTATCTACAACCCTGTGTACATTTTCATAAAGACTCGTTGGTAACCTTCTCATAACCCTGGTGACAAATCCTGAAAATGAATTCCTGTTGATACTAATAAACCCGAGACCTATGCTACACAACAAAGAAAAGAAAAGAAGAGAATTCTACATTAATTCATATATTTTCTCTTGACAAAGCTGGGCGAGTACAATCCTCTTCTAATATAGAATGGAGCCTGGCTTCAAAAAACTTTTTATTGGCCGATGAAGATCACACACACACACACACACACACACGCGAGCGCGCGCGCGCACGTGCATGCATATACACAATATGCAAAAAATCATTTGCTGAAAGGGGTGGGGGGATTTGAGAGCCT